CATTCACTGTCCTGACGATGTAGAGGCCCGTGGGAACAAAGTGCCGGTCATCCCGCCCTGTGTAGCTGAGCTTGGGCGTGCCTCTCGAGCCCTTGATGATCTTCATCTCTAATCTGAGTGTCACAGCCGGCAGGCAGACCGGAAGTACAAGTGCACATGTGAGAGAGGGAACACGTCAGCATCAGAATCACCAACCAGAGTATTTCATGCTGGTTCCAGATAAACTGATGCACAGTGAACTGCTTCAGGCCACACAGCAAGGTTTTTGGGCTCTGAACAGCCAATCAAGTCCTGGCAGCAGAACAGAGGGCCCTGCTATGTTACTGCTGCTTGGGGGTTTCAGGGTGATACCAGGTGAGATCAGGAACCACAGATGCCACCAAGCTGTCAGATCACCAAACAGTTTCAATAACCACAGCCAGGACAGCACTGAGGCTGCTGGAGCCACTCAGTGGGCACAGCACACATTCACACGGCCAGGATCGGATGCCAAGTCTGTGAACACCCCGCACACAGCCACAAATAAGAGGAAGCATTTATGCCCTCTCTACCCCTCCAGGCTCAATCTCCCTGTCAGCACAGGAGCTGGGATTTACGGTGTTTCAAGCAGCTTGCTGCTCTACCCCTCAGAGGGACAATCGTAACTATTACGGCATCAATGAGCCCATATTTCTGCCTGACACACACAGTCCTGCTCCCCTCCTGACATGGTGCTGAATCAGCGCTCAGCCGGGGAGAGACAGCCTGCCAGGGCTGAGCCTCCACCCCATCCCAACCCACCTACATGGCAATGCTTCCCACCCCGACTCTTCTCACACCCAGAGCTACCTGGTTGAGTCTTACCTGACAAAAATCTTCTCCATCTCCTCCAGCCTGTACACCTCCTTTACCCTGCAGACAGAGGACCAGACAGAGGTCAGAGGCTCCCTGACCTTGTTCTCTGTCTCAGGTCCCTCCCCAGCCACCTCCCAGACCACCAAGGATGATGAGCCATAGATCCCAGCCTGTTGTCCAGCTGTCCTGAGAGGACACAGTCTAACACCACCAAACACCACCCTGGGCCTGCCCAGGGAAGCCAGGGAGTGCAACTATGGTCTTTTGGAGATGGGAGGGAGAAAGAGGAAAAAGAGTCTAGGAAGTAAACATGTCTCTCTGCCAGTATTCCTATTCCCAGGTCATCTTCATTTTCACCAAAGTCCAGAACACCAACGGCTGGGCTCTTGCCTAGGCCAGACTACATGGATTTTAGTCGGTATAGCAGTTAATTCAAAATGGTCCTTATAGTCCAATATCCATGGAGGCCAGAAACCCCTCACCAGGCTGCAAGGCTCAACTCCCTGTCTCTGGGAAGCATTCAAACATGACTTTGGAGCTGGTACCTGGAAATGTCCCCACAGCCCCAGCAACTCAACCCATCAAACATGAGTCAGAGTCCCTGGAAGATGCCTTCTGGGCTGGCAGATTTTAAAACGCAGGTAGATACTGTTTGCGGACTTTCAGATAACATTGGTAGAATTCATTCTCCATTTTATTTTTATCTAATAGACACTCATTTTTTAAAAAATTACAGTAATGTGTGTATATAGGCAACTTAGTTTCCAAGCATATGAAGTGCCAAGAAGCAGAGCAAGGCAATGTTCTCTTGTCATAGTCTGACTGTGGGAAAGTGTTCTGTCACCTTCCCCCTGTGCCTGAAACTTCCATATCATGGTATTCCTGGCCCCAGAGCAACAAGGACCTACTTCTTTAAACAAACAAAATCAAAACCCATTGCTGTCAATTCCAATTCCTAAGGATGTGACAGGACAGAGCAGAACTGCTTTAATGCCAGCTTTACCAGGTCCATGTGGGACAGCTGCATCTTCACAACGATGCCTCGGCCCCTGTATGGCTCAATGAACAAGGAACTCAAGCACCAACCAGAAAGAGGCAACAGGAAGGGGTGATAGGATGGGAGGAATGTGCTCACCTAATGGGATTCATGTCAGGCCGACTGGGCTTGGAAACAGCTTTCACAAACTTCTCTGCGAGCTGAATTCTATAATCCAAACAGAGTGTCTCAGAGGTAGGCAAAGTCTACCACTGCCCTTCTCCCCAGGCAGGCAATCTGCACAATGCCAGCAGCAGAACACTGAATCTACAGCAAAGAGCCCAAGAGGCGGTCCTCATCCTCCTGTAAGCCCACCCTCCCCTCCTCCACTGGTGTCTTCACTTAGGCCTCCCCTCTTGCTGGAGTCTGACTTTTAACTTCATGATTGTCTTGGTTGACTCCAGAAGCATGTCTTCAGCTGTTACCAGCCACCTCCACTCATCTGTCTGCCCCTCAACCAGACTGAAGCTTCTGTAGGGCCCCACTCAGATGATCTGTCTTAGATGGAACCACTAAGCACAAGACAGCCTTTTGTTCCACCTTAACATAAAGATCACCTATGATTTGTGCAGATGTAGCTAAATGGATTAAGTTGGTACTGACATCAACCAGGATTCAGGTCCTCATAAACTCTCAAGTGCCCACCCAGCTCTTGTGACCAGCCAGTGGGTGAGAGAAGGAAACTGAAGACATCCTTTGACAAGGAAGGCCACTTAGGAGGGCTCAGCCTTTGAGGCCTGTTGCCCACCAAGCTTGTGGGCCCCCCAGCACCCTCCTGCTCCCAGGGCCCCGGACAGACCGCTGGTTGAAGTGCTGCTCTCTCACATCGCTGCCATTCAGGACAAGGACATCAAGGATGTGGATGGCACTAATCTTCCGCTGCGCCTTCCCCTAAAAGGACAAGAACAAGAACATTGCCACACTGCAAGACACTAGCCTTGGCCTACTATGCACACCAAGTCATACTGGACTCGCTCCACCCACAGCTAGTGTCAGGGAAAGGTAAGCTCAAAACTCAGATATTTCTCTTGTCTCCCTCCCAGTTGATTCTCAGCATCAGACTGGCCTGAGCTCCTGAGCAGGGACAGACCTAAGGCTTTGGATGACAAGCCCCCCTGAACTTCAAACCCAAATGAGGCTGCTGCCACCACCATGATGCTCCAGCTCAGGGCTTAACTGACCACCCTTTGCCAACTGCTCCCACTGACAATTCTGAATGTCACCCATCTAGTTCAAATACCCAAAGCTCCTGAGAAATAACAAGTACTTTCTTCCTCAGGGATCCCAATCAAAAAATAAATTAGCTACTAATATAACACCAGCTCTTCTCTGAAGAGCCAATCATGGGCTACTCCTACACTGTGGTCTTCCTCCCCAGAGTATAATATGGCTTATATTGGAGCAACTACTCAAGAATAGAGAAGGAAAAACTATACAGCCTTTCCTCTATCCTAGGTCTGGTCAACCACCACACACTGTAGTCAAATTATCTCAAGAGAGAGGAGTGTCTCGGTCCCCCAGCTGGCAGGACCAGAACAAGTGAACACAACCACCTCTGACCTCTCCTTTCAGCTCATGTACAATCTCCACAGAGAGCAGAGTGTCCCGGGGTAGCTCTGTCTTCAGGTCCAGCTTGACCCAGCGGTCTGATTGACGGCCATCCCATGTGTAGATCTGGGACTTCTGAAGGCAGAAAGAACACGTCAGATTAGGCAGGCAGGGGGATTGAGGGGAGAGAGGCTCAGTTCTCAAAAAAGTGACTTCGTTGGCAGCTCCAAGCGGATGGATTTGGAAACTGTCAGAGAAAGATGCCTAGATAAGATGAGGGTAACTTACACTCTAGTGATGCTGACAATGTCATCCTTCACTGCCTCAGCAGATGAGAACTAGAGGTTCTGGCTTGTTCACTTGGTAGGAAACAGTCCCAATGCAACAAGGTGCATCATTCCAAAGGCCTAAGTCTATGATTAAGCTTCTCAAGAAAGAGCCAGTTTGGTATTATCTAGGGTGAGTTTGGTAAAGGGTCCAGAGTGAGGGAGAGAGGATGAGGAGAAAAGGACAAAGTATTAAAGGATCTCAGGGAGTAAATGAGAAGCCAAAATATGTAGACTCTCAGGGCTGAAAAAAGGAATAACTTTATCTGGTTAAGACACAGCCCAGCCAAAGCTTTCCCTGCCTCATTCAAGACTCCCAAGTGCCCAAGCATATGGACATGTAGTGTGTTTACAAGATTGGCAGCAGCATGTACTGGAGTGGTGGTGCATGTTTGCTAGTCATCCTGCTATGCTAAGAAATGCCACAGCCATCATAAACAAGGGCCACACACACAACGTAGATCAACCCAATCTGTCACCCATAGTATTGTGGCCCAAGTAGGGAGCTGTGGTGGCAGAGTCCACAGGGAGTGGCACTGCCAACCCAAAGACAGAGCCTGTCTGGCAGTGTGAATCCACTAGATGCTCCTTGGAAGAAAGATATAAATTTACAGTCTTTGAAAACCCACTGGAGGGTCAGTTAGGAGTCAGTTCTGACTTGATGGCAATGAGTAAGAATGAAGAAATAAAGTTTATGCATCACTCAACGATGGCAGCAAACTGCATTCTCGGAATGTATGCTGCTCTGCAGAGCGCTGTCCTGAAATGTTCAAGAGGAAGAACCATGGCAGGATCTTTGGAGAGCAACATTACTAGCAGGACTCTGGAGAGCAAGACACAAGATTCAAAGCAGCGTAGTCAAGCCACCACCTTTGAGCAGAACATACTTTTTTCCTGAGCTCTTCAAATCAAAATATCACAGGCAACAGATTTGGTTGACATGCAAGGAGTAAGCAAACTGTTTACAAAAACAATTTACTGAATTGGTTCAAAGCTCTGGGTGAGACACTGAATGACTTGAGAGTTAAAGAAAGAAGTAGAAGGATGAGCCAGCCTCTGGTTCAGGAGGTATGTGCCTGAGAGAACCTGGACTCAGTGGGAAGATGTCTGTCCACTCCCACAGAGAGAGGACCTAAGCCCTCCAGGCAAGGTCAGAAGCCAGCTTCACTTACCCCCAGGCAGAGAAGGAATTTCTGCTCGCTGCCAGAAACCATGCAACGGTAGTCAAGGACTGGGCGGATCTTCTCCAGGGTTTTGAAGGTGAGCAGTGTGGGCTTGTAGCTAAAGATGTCAATCTCGGTGCCCTGTACCCCAGGTCAGAAAAAAAACAGCTGCATTGAGGGAAGGGTCAGGCAATCAGTAGGGGTGCCTGTGTGGGAAAACTCACTGGCTCTGGGGGTCATGTTCCCCTGTGCCCCTTTCTCTACCTAACCATGCACTAAATGGGATCTATTTCCATCTGCTTGGAGTGTTCCTTTAAGACCTATTAGAATAGGCTGGGAAAGGAAAGAACACTGAGTCCCCAAGTACAGATCGATTTACCACAGCTATAAGGAAATGTCACCAGAATATAAAAGCAGCCCATTCAATAAAACTGAAGGCAAGGATTCTCCAGCAATTGGTCTGAGAGCAGTTAAGCAATCTCTCTACCCTACCCTATTCAGAAAAATAGATGCCTGGTGTTCTTCTGAGACCATCATAAACCTCACTCTCTAGTCGCTGACCCCACAAAACCAGCACAATGACCCAAGTTTGAGGCTAGATTTAAATGAGATCCATGGAAGCAGGAAGTTGAGTGGCAGCAGAAATAGAGGGCAGAACTCCAAGGACTAATTTATCGGAAATGGATGGAGAGCCTGCAGTCTGGCCTGGCCCTACCCCAGAGCTCAACTCCTCTGGAAGCTCCTTGATGGCTCCCTGTCAAGCCACTCTGCCTGGAACCACCCCACACTCCCTAGAAGATGGCAAGTGCCACCAGTCTAAGGAGCAGGAACATTACGCACAAACACACCTCAGAATAAGGATCATCAGGAACTCCAGATCCCCCTCCTAAAGCTTCCCACTTGTGGGAGCATTAGGCCAGCCCTGGGAAGCTGAAATGGGATCTGTACCTGCCTTCCAGAGGTCAGGCACCTCGGGACACCTTCCACACTTATGGTTAGGTCTCTGACTTTTCATTCCCACCATAGGTACCAAACTTACCTGGATTAGCTCAAAGAACTTGGATTTTGGGTCTGAGGAAGAAGGAGCAACCCGTGCTTGGTCAGGGATCTGAAAGGAGACAGCAAGGACCTTTAATTTCTAAATGCCCTTCTGGTCAAGGATGTGCAGTATATGTAGACAAGGGGATAAATTCAGACAAAACCCACTGCTCCTGAGTCGACTCCCGACTCACAGCAACCCTCCAGCATCTTTCAGAAGTTGTAAATGTTTATGAAAGGAGACTCCCCATCTTTCTTTCCTGGAGCAGCTAAAGGATTAGAACTGCTGACCTTCTGGTTAGTAGCCAGCAGCCTGATATGTTATCCACTACACCACCAGAGCTCTTACATTCAGACTTGTTGTTTTTGTTGTTATGTGCCATTGAGTCACTTCTGACTCATTGCAACCCTATGTACAAGAGCCCTAAACCCTGCTCTATGCTGTGCCAAGCTCACTGTCTCCGACACAACTACTCCCACTACCCCAATCACTAAATCGATCCATCTCATCGAGGGTCTTCCTTTCCTGAGCCATACCTCCACTCTCCCAAACACGATGTCCCTCTCGAAGGACTGACCTCTCCTTGCAACATGCCCAAAGTATGTCAGAGGAAGCTTCAGAATCCTTGCCTCCAAGGAGCAGCCTGGTCTCACACGCGCCAGGATGAACCTGTTTGTTCTCCTAACAGTCCATGGTATAGTCAACACTCTTCTCCAGCACCACAGCTCAAAGGTATAAATTCTCTTTCTATCATCCCTAGTCACTGTCCAGCTCTCCGATGCATAGCACATAACTGCAAAGACTATAGCCCGAATCAGGCACACCTTAATCTGCAGCCTGACGTTGTTGCTCTTCAGTATTCTGGAGAGGTCCCTCACAGCTGACTTTCCCAAATCAATTCGTCTCTTTGATTTCCTGGCTGCTGGTACCAAGAGTGTTGACTGTGGAGCCAAGCAAACTAAAACTGTTAACTATCTCAATCTCTTCACCATCCATACTGATGCTGCCAATTGGCCCAGTGGTGAGAATCCCTATTTTGATGATGCTGAGCTTCAATCCATATTGAAGGCTGTAGTCCTTGACCTTCTGCAGCAAGCGCTTTGGGTCCTCCACAGTTTCAGCAAGTAATAGTGTCATCTGCATAACATAGGTTGTTGATGACTCTTCCACCGATCCTGATGCCACATTCCTCCTCGTACAGCCCAGCGTCTCAGATGATCTGTTCTGCGTACCGGCTGAAAAGGTATGGAGACAGAATACATCCCTGATGGACCCCCCCTTCTTGATTTTGAACCATGCAGTGTCTCCTTGCTTTGTTCTGATGACTGCCACTTGGTCCAAGTATAGGTTTCACATAGGCACAATCAATTGTTCTGGAATTCCCATTCTTCTCAGAGTCAGCCATAGCTTGTTGTGATCCACACAGTCAAAAGCCTTTGCATAGTCAATGAAGCACAGATAAGACATTCCTCTGGTACTCTCTGCTTTCAGCCAAGATGCATCTATCATTAGCTATAAGATCCCTAGTACAATGACCTCTTCTAAACCCAGCCTGCCCATCTGGCAGTTCTTTGTTGACGTGTTCCTCTAGTAGTTTTTGGATAATTTCCAGCAGAATCTTGCTTGCATGTGGTATAAATGATATTATTCAGACTAGGGAAGATAAAAGTGGCACAAAACGAAGGAGGACAGAATGAGGGGGTGGAAGTGGGTAATTCGGTTATCACACACCCCTTTCTGTGGCTCCCCTGCACAAGAGCCACTAGGAGCAAAATGAGGTCTGTCTACCCACCACTCCTTACACTTTGTGACCCAACTTCAGGGCCAAACTGGCAGTAAGAAGGTTAAAGAGGTTAACTCCCAACAACACTGAGCCACCAGGCCTGGAATCCCATAGGAATAGCAGACATTTCTGAATAGAGACCCCACAACGACATTCTTTCGAACTCTGCTGCTCTGGAGCAACAAGAGCCAGAGGATTCAGATATCCCCCAGAGTCGCAGGCACTCTTTCCGGATCTCTGCCTGCCGGGGCTCACTCAGAGTCCTAGAAAACGACAGCAAGTGGTTTAAATCTCCGAATGGGACAACAACGACGGCTTCGGCTTCAGTGTCTCTCAGAACCCCAGAGAGAGGCCAGCATGAGTGAGCATGTGAGTACACACACAAAGGCCAGGAGCCTAGGGCGCTCACAAAACATAAACAACTCTTCTTCTTAGAAGGGGACTCAGATGCACATTCCCACCATGACAGAAAGGAAAAAGACTACCCTCCTGACCACCCTGGATGTCAGGGTCCCCCTAGACCCGTCATCTAGTCCCCATCAACATATGTGACTCTCCTCTGCTGATAGAGGCCATATTGGGGCATCCCAGAGGATGTCACTCTGCCCATAATGCTGGATAAGCTTATGCTCAACTTCTACCAAATGATTTCCTTGACTTAGTCCCATCTCTCCTTGTCTGATCTCTTTTCATTCACTGTCTTCTGATTCTCATGTATTCTATCATGCTATGCCACTCTACACCTCTGTTAACACTGTTAATAATCATTCTTGACTTATTCTTATCTGCCAAAAGACCATGTAAACTTCTCAAGAACAAGGTTCAAGCTGTATTTTCCTCTGGCACTTGTCACAGACCATAGCAAACAAGATCCTCCCTTGAAATGTGTGAATTCTGCAAAGTGGTAATACTCACGTGTCTTGAACAAAAGCATGAATTTTGGCCAGAGCTTTGATCTGCACACTGCAATGGCTACAACGGGGGGAAAAAAAGGAAGCTGAGCTCAGAAGTTATCAAAAAGATATCAGGAAAGAAAAGTGTAGTAGAGCAGTGGCTATGGGCATATGGGAGAGGGACTGGAAAGCTGAGGGAGGACCTCCCTGCAGTCTCTGCACCCTAAGGTGCAGGTAGATGGGGCCTATGGAGGCTGAGGGTGGGCAGAACAACTAAGCCAAATCTCCCCTGCTAAATTAAAGGCTCTGATCCCATCCTTGAATCATTTTAAATCATGATCAACTGATGCTAAGTAAAACAACAACAACAAAGGCCAGACCCAGTTTCAACTAAAGACTAGAGTAACTCAACCCATCTACATGTCTCTGAGCATAACTAGAATACCTTTTTAGTCTTTACTGTTATTTTACACATGATACATGTTTGGCATTTAATAAAAGACTAATGTTCCTGTAACATACATGGTTTGACCCTATAAATCTTCATTGGTTTAGCTATTAACAGCTGTTGTTGTTATTCATATCATACAAGTTTAATAAATCATGACTTCATTTGAGAAAAATAAAAAGTGAGTTATAACTTTTTTCCTTTATTTCTGCATTTTACATAGATGTATATCAGAAAAATTTTAAAACATTTTCAGGACTGAATACATTTCTTTTTGTTTTTTTTTAATACATTTCCATGAACCCTACTTTTAGGTATCAATGACTGAGGAATATGGGACTAATTAATCATTTCAAAATTGGGATGCAACTTGAAAATTAATTATAATGACTTTCCAAACTTTTTTCCCCCCTAGTACTTCAGAAAGCCTACCTTTGCACATGAACAAAATTGCCCCTTTCTCCCTTAAAAATTACCAAGAAAATCACATTTTCTAAGCAAGTAAACAATTTGATACAGAGAATTTTTTTTTTATAAAAACCATCATTAATATAAACAACTTGGAAGCAGGAGTGGCATCCACTTCCTAAACAACCTGTCTCTGGAAACTATGAACTTTGAGACACTACAATAGTTATAGAAAGGCTTCAGGTCTTTTATTCATAGCGTTGCTATGAGTTGTGCTCGACACAATGGCAATCAACAACAGCAACATGAGTCAGATACATGGAGAAGCCAGAAAGTGTGACTCACTGATGAGAAAGGAAAAAAGGGTCTACTACAACAAGTCCCAGAAATGACCCAGAAGTGGGTATTCTCATACAGGCATTTAAAATAACTAACATAAATGTTTTAAAGGATCTAGAGGAAAGACAGGCACAATTTTATGGGGAATTTCAGAAGTGATACAGAAGTTACTTTTTTTTGTTTTTTAATTTTTATTTTACTATTTGTGTGTACCGTCAAATCAGATCTGACTGGTACAGGAGGAGATTGTCCCTCCTTCCCCGGCAGAGCATCTGGTGGATTCGAATTGTGCGCCTCTGGGATTGCAGTGCAGCTTCTTGCCACTAGGCCACCAGAGCTCCCCAGAAGTTACTTTTTAAGACACAAGTTAAAACTCTAAAAGTTAAAAAAACATATTAAAGGTGGCTAATTAGTCTGATGACTTTATCATCAGATTGAACACAATAAAAGAATCAGTGAACCAAAGACAGACAAAGCAACAAAACCCTCAAACTGAAATAGAAGGATGGGAAAAGGTGGGAGACACCATTTGAGATTTGTGGAGTAACATCAAATACGTTGACCTAAGTATAAATAGGGTTCTAGAAGCAGAGGAAAGCAGGACAAAAATCAGTAACAAGATAATGGCCTAAATTTTTTAAATTGATGAATGAAATCAATACAAGAATCTCAGTGAATCCCAAGTAGAATAAATACAATAACCATTTAATTAGTAAGAAGAAGAATAAATCTCATCTAAACACATGATGCTCAACCCACTGAAAGCAAAATACAAAGATAGTATCTTAAAAAGTAGAAGAAAAAAATAGTTGACACACAGGAACACAATGGTAAGACTACTGGCTAACTCATCAGAAAAAAAGTGGGGAGGAAATAAATCTTATGTATCAGTAACAGACCAAAAAAAAAAAAAACAACCCTGCCAACTTCAATTTCTACAACCAGTTAAAATATCCTTAAAAAAAAAAAAGGAAAGTAAAACATACACACTTTGAAATGTATAACTGAAAAGAATTAGTGTCTAACAGACTTTCACTATGAAAATATATCCCATCTCAAAAAAGTTTATTTAGGCCAAAGGGAAAATATTCCTGATAGACACTTTCTTCTATAGGAAAGAATAAAGAATATCCAATATGTCAGTACTTATGAAAGATCTTCTTTTAAAAAAATTATACATGTAGGTTTAAACAACTTGCATTGTGCAGATGACACAGTCTTGCTTGCTGAATCTGAAGAGGACCTGAGGCATTTGCTGCAGAAGGTCAAGGTCTGCAGCCTTAATATGGATTGAAACTCAATATCAAGAAAACAAAGATTCTCACAACTAGGCCAATTGGCAGCATCCTGACAGACAGTGAAAAGATTGAGACTGTTAACAATTTCAGTTTGCTTGGCTCCATAATCAACACTCTTAGTACCAGCAGTCAGGAAACCAAAAGATGAATTGCACTGGGAAAATATGTCAGGGACCTCGACTGAGTATTGATGAACAATGATATCAGTCTAGAGACTAAGATCTGCCTGATCGAGGCCATGATCTTCGCTTGATATGCATCAGAGAGCTGGGCAATAACTAAAGAAGACAGAAGAACTGATGCCTTTGAGCTGTGGTGCTAAAGAAGAGTACTGAATATACGACAGACTGCTAAGAGTACAAACAGGTCTGTTCCAGAGCAGATGAACCAGGCTGCTCCAGAGGTAAGGATTTTGAAGCTCTATTTGATATACTTTTCACATTTTGCCAGGAGAGACCAATCCTTGAAGATGGACATCATGCTTGTCAGGTGGATGGACAGCATAAGCGAAAGACCCTGGATGAGAGATGGACTGACTCAGTGACTGGGGTAATGAGAGTGTAAAGGTTTGTCAGAGACAATGAAACTGGCTCAAGACAAAGTTGAGAGCAGTTGTATATAGGGTCACTATGAGTCGCAAGCGACTTAACAACCCAATGGCATGGCACCTAACGACAAAGACATCTCTTTAAATCTCCTGAAAAGTTACTGTTTACAGTGAAAATAATAACAATGTAATGTGGGGTCATATGAAAAAGAGCACAACGACAGGAGGAGGAAAGTTCAAACACTGCTGTAAGGGTTCATGAAGTACAAGAATTTTCTTTGAAGGTAGACTACGGCAAGTTAAAAGTTTGTCCTACAGTTTCTAGAGCAATGACGGAAAACAACACAGAGAAAAACAGGATAAATAGGAATATTTAAAACTACTGTTGCTGTTGTTGTTAGGTGCCATCAAGTCAAGGACAACTCATAGCAACCCTACAAACAATAGATCTGAACTCAACCTATCCTGTGCCATCTTCATACTTCCTGACATACGAGAGCCCATTGTGGCAGTCACTGTATCAATCCAATTGGTCAAGGATCTTCCTCTCCTTCGCCAACCCTCCACCCTTCCAAGTATCATATACCGCTCCAAGAAATGGCCACTCCTAGCAACATGTTTGAAGTTTTGAAGGTGAAACCTCATCATCCTTGCCTCCAAAGAGCACTCCTGCTATACCCTCTCCAAGACATATTTCTTTGTTCTTTTGACCATCCATGGGATGTTCAGTGCTCTTCTCCAACACCACAGTTCAAAGGTATCAATTCTTCTGTCATCTCTATTCACTGTCCAGCTCTCAGATGCATGGCAAGTGACTGGAAAGATGGTGGCCTGAATGAGACGCACCTTAGTCCTCAAACTGACATCATTACTCCTCAATAATTTGGAGAGGTTCTTAACTGCAGATTTTCCCAGTGCAGTATGTCTCCTTATTTCTTTCCGAACTGCTGGTACCAAGGCTATTAATTATGGATCCAAGCAAGATGAAATTGTTGACAGTTTCAATCTCTTCTCCATGCATCATGATGTTACCTAGCAGTCCAATGGTAAGAATTTTTGTTTTCTTGATACTGAGCTACAATCCATATTGAAGGCTAGAAGAATAAAGGAACTGAACAGAAGATTTCAAAGGGCAGCTCCAGAGGACAAAGAAAAGTATTATAATTGAATGTGCAAAGACCTGGAATTGGAGAATAAAAAGGGAAGAACTCACTCTGTATTTCTCAAGCTGAGAGAACTAAAAAACAAACTTAAACCTTGATTCCTAATATTGAAATATGCTATGGACAGTATACTGAATGATCCAGAAAGCGGCAAAAGAAGATAGAGGGAACACACAGAATCACTGTACCAAACAGAACTGATTGATACTCAAAGATTTCAGGAAGTACCAAACAAGTAGGAGCCAATGGAAGTGGAAGCTGCATTGAAGCCACTGGCATAAAATAAGTCCCCTGAAGTTGCTGGGATACCAATTCACTTGTTTGAATTAACAGATGCAGCCTTGGATGTGCTCACCACCAGTCTATGCCAAGAAATTTGGAGGACAGTTGTCTGGGCAATGGATAGGAAACAGTCCATATTTCTTCCCATTCCCAAGAAAGGTGATCCAACAGAATGTCGAAAAATAAATTATTCAAAAAAAAAAAAAGGAGGAAAGAAAAGAACAAAATAAAGAGGTATCTGACATCTATTTTAATTCCTTTTCATTGTGTTTCACTTCAGTATTTCTTTGTGTTTCAACACTGGTTAGTATTTAGCATGATAAACATCTTTCTTTGCAATGTAGATTATTATATAATCCCAGAAATTATTTATTTAAAAAGAAAAGACAGGGCAAACAGAAACCAAACACTGAGAGAGAAAATTTAAATAAATCCACATGTATCTCAATAATTATACTCAACATAAAATATTTCCATTAAAAGACTGAGACTGTCAGATTGAATAGCAATACAATGTATTTTTAAATATTCTAAAAATTCTCATGCAGTTTACTGCCTCTGAAAACTCACTAGAGGGTCAGCTATGAGTCATTTCT